ACTACTACTAGGACTGCTACTACTACTCTACTACTCTACTACTACTACTACTACTACTACTACTACTACTACTACTACTACTACTACTACTACTACTACTTACTACTACCACTACCACCACCACCACCACCACCACCACCACGACTGCTGCTACTACTACTACTACTACCACTACTACCACTACTACTACTACTACTACTACTACTACTGCTACTACTACTACTACTACTACTACTGCTACTACTACTAATACTACTAGTACTACTACTACTACTACTACTACTACTACTACTACTACTACTACTACTACTAGGACTGCTACTACTGCTGCTGCTACTACTGCTCCTCCTACCACCATTCTCCTGCTACTGAACACACCACTACCACTACGACTGCAACGGTCACAGCAACGGCAACAGACACGCCCGCAGCTGCAGCAGCAGCTGCAACAAGGCAATAAGAGCACAAAGAGAAAGGGACGAGACGTCATGCACACGCAAACAAGGGCACGAATTAGACTCGAAAGCCAAAAAAAGACATAGTGAAGCGAGGCACCTGGGATGCGCAGCCCATTGACGCGGGCACACACACTTTTGGCCCAGGTGGCCAATAAGGACTGTAGCACTCCACCTGCTTAGGCTTCTTGGGCTTAAGCTTCCGGGACTTTGGGTTTAGGACTTGGGGCCTTGGGTTTAGAGCTCAGAGGCTTCAGGGTCAAGGAGTTAAGCCATTCCGATGCGCCTAAGGTGTTAAAATCTCGTTCAATTTTAGCTCCAGCTTGTGGGGAGCCCTGAGAGTTCGATGCCGTTTACTTGAAGCCTGGTAACTAACAAAGATTCTGGGGGTAGAATATGATTTACTTGCAATAAGGGAACCCCAAGGAAGAATACTTGCAACTATGTTAAGGTATAGTAAGGAACCCTCAGCAAGAATATTAGTAAATCTTTAGGCTACTGTAGTACGAACTGGTATACTTCATAACTAGAATAGGGGCTTGTAACAAGGGAGCCCTAAGGGAGACTCTTAGTCAATATTGAAGCTTCTATCCTATGAACAAAAGCCTAAATATACTCACTGATATTCTTCTTTGAGGGAATATTAGGGTTTTGCGACTTCCAGCACTTCCGTGAGCACTGAACCCTGAGCTTCATTGAGTGAAAGCTCAACAGTCCAAACCCCCCTTCGCCTTAATGCTCGGTTTAAGGTTCGGGGTTTAGGGCTTAGGGCAAGTTTAGGGTTTAGGGTTTAGGGCAAGTTTCGGGCTTAGGAGTGCTGGGGTATACTCTAGTTGGGTTCTATCGGGATTTTGAGAGGATGCCAGCACTAAGTATTCAGGCTTCCATGAGAACCCGAAATCCCCAGACGGCCAAAGTCAGTAAGGAACCTAAACCACACTTAGGGTTTAGGGTTTAGGGATTAGGGTTTAGGCAAAAACTCGGGCCCCCTTGACTCCAAGAACTTCGACCCGGAACACGAACAACTAAGGCTAATCAGGTTCGTAAGCAGAATAGGCAACTAAGTAGAAGTATACGACTACGATCCACTTAGAGTAACAACAACGGATCGGACGTAACAAACAATGAGCCAATAATCAATAACTAACAAGACCACTGAGCTCAAACAACCAAACAAACAAACAAAACAAAACCAGCCAAACAAACAAACATACAAACAAAAAACAAACCAACAAGCAAGCAACCAAGGAAACAAACGCTACTCATAAGCATAACAATAAGAATTAAAAAAACGACGATGACCAAAATAAAAATAATCACGACAAGAAGTCTCAGGAGGTAAAGACGGAGAGCGGCAAGAACTCAACAAGGCCAGAGAGGGTTTGGGACTCAGAGTTTAGGGCTTATAGGGTTTATAGGGTTTAGGGTTTAGCGCTTGTAGGGTTTAAGGTTTAAGGTTTTTTGTTGAACCCCTTTTCCACCCGCAACATCCATGTCACAGCTAGAAGGTCCCGGGACCAGGGGAAGGCTGCGAAGCGAGCCCCGTTTAGGGTTTAGGGGTTTAGGGTTTAGGGCTTCGGCTGCCGCCGGCCGCGCCTCCCAGGCTTCGTCGCAGGGGCAGCCGTCCTCCAGCTTGGCGCAGCTGTGGCTCTCCTCGCCCTGCGCTGCTCTGTAGACGGTATAGGTTTGGGGTTTAAAGCTTCGGGTTCAGGGGTTTAGGAGTTTAAGACTTAGGGTCAACTTTGGGTTTTAGGGGTTTACTGTAGGGGTTTTAGGGGTTTAGGAGTTCAAACGGTTTACAGGAATACTCTTGGCGGGGGGGGGGTTTTATAAGTCTGGCTTTGGGGCCTCAGGCCTCAGGGCGGGGTTGGGGCCAGAGGCTCCGGGGTTTGAGTGGTGTGGCTTTAGGGTTTTAGGGTTCAGGGTCTTTTAGGGTTTTAGGGTTCAGGGTGGCTTTGGGTTTAGACGGTTCCGGGCCAAACCAGCCCGCCACCCCAGCAAAAGAAAAAGCCAAAAAGACTGCCGAGTCGCATATGCGACGGTCCCATAGGGCGTGTAGCCACGATGGAAGCAAAGAATCCTCGGTTTGGGGGCTGTGAAACACGTGTCCGACGGGGCGTTGAAGAATTTCGGGCTTCGGAGTGAGGGAAGGCTCCTTCTCCTTCGCGAGTTAGATCATGTCTGAAGGTGGTAATGTCGGTGCCTTAATAACTAGAAAAGGGTTTTGGGGCCCCGTATACCACGATACTTATAGAATAAGGCACCCCCCAAAGTAGTATATAGGTAATTACCGAGGCCCCAAAATTAGGGGCTTCTTGGATCCAGGATACCCGGGTCTTCGGCGTTTCAGCTCAGGCTTTTGAAGCTTGCGGACTGGGGGGGTTCCCGAACCTTGGGCCTTTACAAGCATCATGTAGGGTTTAGGATTTAGGGTTTAGGGTTGAGGGTTTAGGGTTTATCCTATTGTTGTAGACGACATACAATTCCCCTCTCCTGCTTTGGGGCGCCCCAATGCTTGGCTGCCGATAAATGGGCAGATGTTCCAGTGGCGAATTCAAGAAGCGGTGAACGGATTAACAATCCTCACGCTTTGGCTTTGTTCAATCTTCGGGCATTCCTTGCACAGTCGCAGTACCACAACCAACGTGTTGGTCACAAGTGTTGCTGTTGCAGCAAGATATACTCTGAACATCTCTGAACACAAGAAGCATGTTCTGCGGCCCACTCATGCCAAATGTCAAGGTTGCTTGGATGACGATGGGATTAACTGAACTTGCAGATGATTCTGTGATCGCTGGTTTGCGGGTCTAAGCTACCACCTGTGCGTGGGTTCCGCGGGATGTCAGCCACAGCGAAAACACAACCCAGTGCCGTAGTAGATGCTTGATGAGACGGTTGTGTGTTTCACCGAGAGCTTTACGAAAGTTATCCCCCCCGTCTATGCTTCAACAAACGTAAGTACACGATCATGTCGAGAGCCTACTTGCTGCTTCTTTCTGCGACTGATTGATTTTGTTCCTGCTCGGCTCCGGCAGTTTTCGCACATGAAACTCAGTGTTCTCGCTTCTGCCTCGAGGAGCGACGGATTTCAGCACAGATCATGGCATTTCGCTTCACGGGCTCTGGTAGCCTGGGAGTTTGTCGGTTGTTGGTCCGACCTTGTAGTTCTCTGAGAGGGAAGGCAGATAAGATCCGTGTCGCGGTAACTTCCTTTCCGAGCATCATTTCAATACAATTTTCGGCGAATGTCAGCACCGTAGTCTCTCATGCGCAGTGATTCCATCCAAGTCCAGTGTGGTCAGCGTTCAAGCGAGCTGACCGGCAAGCTCAACAGGAGTGAGACACTTTGCAGTTCAGGCTTGAGGGTTTGGGGTTGGGGCAGGGACGGTGTGCGTCGGGTCTATGGAAGATGCCACAGCGACGAGATGGTGACTGGCATCCCAAAGCGCGGACCCCTAAACCCCTAAACCCCTGAACACCCCTAAACCCTCAAACGCAGGCCGGGAGTCTCATCCGCCGAGCAGAGGCCGTCTCCTGGCCCATCGGACTCCCTTGTTTGGGTTTAGGGTCTAGGGTTTAGGGTTTTGGGTTTTGGGTGTTAAGGGTGCCGTACTGTTTTCCGGACCTACAGCCTACTTCAAAGAGCTACCCAAGAACACCCATAGTTCGAAAACTTCGAGTTTGGGGTTTTGGGGGTTTTTGGGTGGAGAGCCCTCTGGCCTCCGCGGCAGTCGGTGGAGCCGCAGAAATCCTCGTAGAGGCCCGGACCTCTCCCGGCGAGCTTATGGCTTTTCGGGGGCTTACGGCGAAACGGGCTCGGCGTGTGGGGTTTCCGGTGTAACAGGGTTTAGGTTTTTCTGTTTTAAGGAGCTCCTTTTCGAAGAGTTATAAGGTCTTGGGTTTCGGGTTTAAGTGTAGGGCTTAGTTTTCCGGCTTACTTGGATCATATGTTGATACGGCGGGACGTGAGAGGTTGAAGGGCTTCTCAAAGTTAATGGGAATCACCGGAACTTCGCTGTCTTGAAAACAAGCGGGAGTAGGGGTCTGAAACATAGGGCGCACCTGTTGTCATCAGACTTGCTGAGCAGCGTGGTAAAGTATGCCATGGCATTACTTGCGCCATGGGCTCCAACAGGGACTGCGAGACTCGACTGTACATATGCCCCACAGGTCTGATGACAACAGGCGCCCTTGAGTTTGAGTCCCTTCATCGACTGTCTTGAGACGGTCCTCAAAGACACATGGGTAGTTCTCCAAATTAGGATTGTTTTTTAGGATCCTTTTTTATAAGGGTGGAGAACTATATTGGGGACCTCAAAAGCAACCCTAATTTAGAGAACTACCCACATGTGATGTCATTATCCCCCAGTCCTTCCCCCACAGATCTTTCTATCTCTCCCAAACACCCAGACTGAAGCCCCAAGGAACCAAACCGATGTCCGAAAGAATAACATAGGGGCCTACTAATTAGAATAGACTGTTCGGGTATGTGATACTACAGTTATAATACGGAACCACCAAAATGGTATTGGTGATTATTTCAACCCCTGTATTCGCCGAAATCCCGCGCCAGACCCTGAAAAATCCTCCAAGAAGCCTGGAGTTAATTGGCTGCTCAGGGCTTCAAGCTTGGAGTTTGGGGCTGTAGAGGTCTCCACAGGAGTTTCGGGTATTGTAAGACCCTGATGAAGGAACCTTGAGTCTTGAGGCTCCTTTTATGGATCTTCATATTTTGGGGGTTATCGGATCAGGGTTTAGGGCTTAGGGTTTAGGGTTTAGGGCATCAGAGAATTCTGGCGCAAGCCCTCCAGCCAACTTTCTGCCTGGTCTTAGCATACAAGTGCGCAGGATGCCTCGAAGATGCTTCCGAAAGAAAGCCACACGCCCCACATCCCTAATATAGGGATCTTGATAATTAGAATAATGTTTGGGGTCCAATCTACTATAAATACGATAAGGAACCCCCAAAATCGTGTGCTAGTTATATAGGCCCCTATATTAACCAAGCCGTTTCATCCTGAAGCTTACAGTAAACAACAGCTTCCTGACAGAATTTTCACGGTTTAGGGTTGGCCTTGGTATTTTCACTTTAAGCCAGAAACATGCGACTTCTCTCCCCAAAAAAACCTGCTACCTCCAACCCCATGGCCCTGAATTGCGGGGACCATGGGCGAAAGGGTGAAGCAACAATCTTCCCCCATCAGGGTTGAGGGCTTCCGTCTTCCACCTGAGGACCCGACAAAGCGTGGTATTGTAAGACATGTTGTAAGACATGTTGGACATGTTGGAGTCGTAAGACATGTTGGACATGTTGGAGCCGCAGGAGAGCTCGTAGACTCCGTCCTTGGAGGCCAGACAGCAGTAAACCCTAATCGCTCAACCCGAATCCCTAAACCCTAAACTCTAAACCCTGAGCACTAATAGCACTAATCCCTAAACCCTAAACCGAGCGCAAGGGGTCGGAGGAAGGCAACTGCCAGGTGGGCAGATTCAAGTTGTCCTGGTTTCGACTGCCGGCTTTCAGAAGCGCACGGGTTGCAGGGTTCAGGGTTTAGGGTTCAGGGTTTAGGGTTCAGGGTTCAGGGTTTAGGGTTTAGGGTTCCGGGTTCAGGGTTTAGGACCCTGGCCGTAACCCCTTGCTAAAGTGGAGCCGACCCACCAGGCATCTCTGCGCTGTCACTGGGCCGTGGATTTTCCCGTAGCTGCAAATTCTGCTAACTTGGACAGGAGCTCCTCTTGTGCAGTGTTTAGGGATTAGGGATCAGAGCCTAGGGTGTAGGGTTTGGGGTTTAGGGATTTGGGTTGAGGGTTTAGGGTTTCAGCAAACACGTAGCAAACTCACGAATGCGTGATGCGGACATGTCCCAAAAGACTGTCTCCATTCCATGTTATGGCCCTGCGCTGCAAGAACTGCTCATTGGGCTTTGGAATAGTCAGCTCAGGTAGTTCTAGATCTTCAGTTGCTAGCACTCCCACAACACCCCCCCCCCCCCCCC